AGCAATGACAACACTAAACAAAAAGGAAAACAAAAAGAAAAAGAAAAAGAAACTTTACAAAAACATGATACAACAAATGACTTAGACTGGTTCTCAAACTATCCTATCACTCCTGAAATGCAAAAACATAATAAACTAAGTACACCTTTAGCTTTACAAGTTTTCTCACTTCTAAAATCACATCTTATAAACTTTAATCTAGGACCGGTTATTCCTATCGAATCAACTGATACAAAATCTAATAACAGACCCCTGCTAAATACTCATTTAATTATATACTCAACAAGATGGCTAGTGACAAACCCAAATTTTTAACTAACTTTATTCTTAAAGCTAATCCTAAATTCGATCAATCAAATCCTATTCTCTTCAAAGTTTTGGTTGAAACTCTTAGAGGCTTACTTTCTAAATTTACAACAGTACTATTTACTCAGCTAGACTATTTATATATCTTTCGATCACATTACTCTATCCCACCATACTTAGCTAACAACAGGAAAAAAGTTGCTATTAACATGGCACAACTACACTTATATCTTAACTATACTTACAAAACTATTAACTTCGAAAAATTTATGAAAAAGCTTGACATTAAGCCCTTACACTTTACTCTAAATTTTGATATTGATTATGATGCGGATGAGCTACTCTTTGATATTAAAAATGACAATAGATTCAACATCAAAGTTATGTTAAACATTCCAGCAAAAAAATTTGAAGATAACTTCAAAATTTCTTCGCTTAAACCTCATACCAAGACCTATAAAACTTGGTTCTCTAAATTCTTTTAAAAATACAAAATTCAAATTTGAGAAAATTGACCAACAAAAAACAAGCAACTATATTAAAATGTTAATATCCCAAAAACTTGTCGAAGATTGCAAAGAACTACTACCAGAAACCTACTCACTCCCTAACATGCTACTTACACTTCAAGACCGCTTCAAAGCTACCTTCAAAGCAGCACTTTATCATTTTCATAAATGTTTCAGCAAATCATGTAACTTACTGCCAGATAATACAGAACACTGTCTTGAAAATATTTCCAAATTTTACTTCTCTCAATTATTTAAATCCTATCCTGTTTTAGAATCTAATTCAAAAGAATGGGTTTACCCTTCTATAGAATCTAAAATTTTCCAACCAAAACAAAAATTAGCAGCAACCTTTTCAAAACCAACACCTATAACTGAGCTAAGGGATTTAGCCACATCAACTGAAAAAAGTTTTGCATCACTTAACAATGTTAGTAGTAATGTTGCTCGAGCTACATACTACTTTTACCAATATTTAAAAAAAAATTTACATACAGTAGCAGAGAATGATGGTATTCAAGAGCTATCAAAGGAGAAAGCACTTGAAAAAATTATAAACTCTACTACTGATGTACACACATTAGCTCGAATAATCACTTTCTATGAAATTCAATCACAATTCAAAATTTCTCTTAAACAAACTCGAATTGACTATGACAAATTCTACTATCCAGAAGCTGAAAATTTCCTAATTAAATATCTTAACATTTCTATCCCTACTCAATATAATGACACTTTTTATGCAAACTTCAAACTTACCTGAAGCTGAAAAAGAAAATCTTTTTACATCGACTGCTCAGGATAATGACTCTGACAACACTATTTTTCAAAAAGATAATATTGACAACTTTACTTTGCAAAATGAAACCCCTTTTCAATAAGTTCTTCTACAGATAATATTAAAGCAACTGCCACCTCTAAGATTATGATATCCTCCACTACTTGTAGGCCACTCTTAGAGGAGAATAATGACAGTAGGCGGGTAGTAAAGCCCATTGTGAGCGTCTCTGTAAAAGACAATACAAATACTATCTCTAACTCCATTACTTCACCTCCTACTGAGATAGACAAATGTTACAATAAATTTTTAAAACAACACAACTTACCTCAAATACTTGAACCTGTCACACTTTATAAATTTATTCAACATCTACATTTAAATCTTTTCCTTGATCCAATAAAGATTTCTATAAATTCAAAAAAAACAGAAACATACATATACTTAAAAACTATAGATCAAACACTACCAGACCATATTACAATAGACCTCTTCTCTATAAAACATATGATCATTTATCATTATTAACTCATTTTAACTAGACAATACCTAACATAAACTCTGCCTCCTTCTTTACATCTAACCAATTATCTAATTTAAATATCTCTTTATTGTCTTCTACTACCCTATCAATTTTAATACCTGAACATACTTCACTTCCAATTAAAATTGGTTTAATAAATATAAATGGACTGTCTCAACCTAACAAAAACTTGTCCTAATTGAACTTTTACAAGGAAAAAATTTTGAAATTTTTGGACTTTCTGAAACACACTTATCTGTCAAAGAAAGCAAATTTCTTAATAATCAAATTCAAAACTACGTTAGTTTTTGGAGCTCATACACAAATCCTCACCAAGCTGGTGTTGGTATCCTCGTACACAAAAAAATCTCCAAATATATTGCCAAATCTTATAATTTTAACAGTCACATAATTGGACTTGACTTCCATTTCAAAAATATGTCAATCAGACTTCTTCAAATATACTTTCCAACTTATGAGAAAAAACAACTCCATAAAGAAGTCCAAGATCACATAATTTCTCTTACTCAAAATAACAAATACAAATTAATTATTATAGGAGACCTAAATAGTGTTCCAAATCCAAGAATTGACAGATTTCTCTCAAAAAAATCAATTCCTGAAAGCCAAATTATCCAATATCTAATTAGCTTACAATTCAAAGATATTTACCGAGTTTTCTACCCTAATACCTCAAACTTTACCTTTAGTTGAAACAATATACAAAGTCGAATCAATCAAATTTGGACCAACCTATCTATTACTAATATTGATTATACAGATATCCTTCCAACTTGCACAATTGAATCTGACCACCACACTATAACTCTAGAAATTTCTATTATAATTAATAAACCTAAACCTCATAAACAACACAAACGCAAGGTTTTTCTCTGGAAAAACTGTACTAAAGAAAACCTTGAAAACTACACTAACCAAACTACAAAAAATCTTCAACATCTGTTACCTAAAATTCTATTGATTTCAAACCAAAACCAACTAAACACTATATGGAATAAAATTTATAAAGCACTAATTAAAGCTTCTACTAAACATATCCCTTTCAAAAAAATCAAAACTATTAAAGAAATTCAGGACTCCCCTTCACCAAAACGCTTATTACTCTACTTTCGTTATAAAGAAATCCAGTTTCTTAAAAATCATATGGACTCAACCAATTTTGACATATTACTTAACAAATACCAAACTAAATACTTAGACTGCATATTTCAAACATCATCACCCTTACTGGCTCAAATTAAAGATGAATTTCAACTTATTAAAACTGCACTTAATCATCAATATCAACAATTAACATATGATGAAATCAAAGTAAAAATAGAAGAGCGTAACAAATCATTTAAAGAAACACCTAAACTCTTTTATAAAAAAATACTTGAAAAATACAACAATATTTATATTGATAGATTATTTCTCAATGACAATCTTCTTACAGAACATGATGAAATATTAAATGCAATTAAATATCACTTTACAGAATATTTCAAAACCAAACCTCTCGAAACTATTTCATCAACATCTGAATTCTTCACACTCTACGAGCCACATCCTGAATTGGAAATTTACTACCAAAATCTTACTCATGAAATATCTGAACAAGAATGGCAAAACCTAATTTCTGGTTTACCTAACCAAAAAGCAGCAGGACCTCTTGAAACCTGTTATGAACATATAAAATTTGCTAGCCCTAAAGCACAAAACATCTTCCAACTTCTCTTAAACAAATGTTTTCAACTTCAAAAAATTTCCTCAGACTGGAAGTCATCTAACATCTTTCTAATTCCCAAAAAATCAACTTGGGACTATACATTAAATCAAGTTCGACCAATCTCGATAATTGAACCCTTTAAAAAAGCCTTCACTAAAATATTCACAAACCAATTAGATAATATTATCACTAGTCACAATCTTTTATCAAATTTAAACTTTGCAGCTTCCAAAAACTCTTCTACACATCTTCCTATACAAATCCTACATAATACAATCAAACATTACAAAGCTAATAACAAAGAAGCCTGGATTCTCTTTCAAGATATGTCCAAGGCTTTTGATAAAATTAATATATCAAGACTTCAAGATACATGCAAAAGAATAGGGATTCCTTCAACAGGAATTAACCTGATTACAGAACTACATTCTCATCGACTTGCTAGAATAATTACTGCTCATGGTCTTACCTCTCCAATACCAATTAACTTAGGAATTGAACAAGGTGAAACCTACTCACCTCTACTATGGAAAATTTATTATGATCCTATACTCTCCTTCATTTATAAAAAATATCAAAACCATCTACTCAAAATTTTATACCAATCTCCTATTGACATCATAATGAACACAACATCTTCTCCAATAACAATTCCTCTATTGGCCTTTATGGATGATACTACTTGGCACTATGAAAGTGCTAATACTATGCAAAATATTATAAATAATACCTCTATACTATACAAACTTAATAATATAGAAATCAATACTACTAAATCTGACCTTCTTCATATCAAACCCAAATTTTTAACAAACCCAACTCCTACTCTTATAATGAACCATCAGAATATTCTTCCCAGAAAACTGCAGAACGTAATACGATATCTTGGTATTTTTTATGATGGCAAAGGCTCCCTAATCCAACTCTTAATCAAATTCAAAACAAAATTGAAAACTTTCTTACCCTTATCCAATACAAAAAAGTAACACCTTCACAAATTTCATCACTTTTTAATTTAATTCTACAACCTTCAATAGAATATCTACTTCAAATTACTCCAATTCACACAAATACACAACTCAAATTTACCCGCCTATTTACTATTCACACCAAAAAAATATTGTCCCTAGCAA